CTCTCTCTGCCCTTAAAGCATATTTCAGGATTTCGAATCAGAAGCCCAATGGTGCATTACATACAGAAAATGTTACTTAATTTTGACTCCAGAACTCGACCAATACTTTGCTGGGTGCCTGCACATACACGCATTTTTGGAAATGAACTTGCTGATGATACGGCTAAAGAGGCGGCAATGGGCACGAATCTGCCTGAATTCTCTCTTCCTCTACTGTGTCTACAGGGCTCATATCTCAAGATATTAACTAGTATGCAACTTTCTCAACAGTGGCAGCTCAGGTGGATTACTGCTAACTGAGATAGAAGAATGCATAAATTTGTCTCAAAGGTCTCAACCAACTTCCCTTCCAGTTCCTCGGCACTCACAACATTTTTAACAGGGCAGGAATGAACCAACAATTTAGTAAGACAATCAATAGCATTAAAAAATTTGACCGACATCATACAGTGGTGTTCCGAAAATGCTTTATTTCTTAGAATTCCACAACTTTAAGCATTAAGATTTACTCAGATCAATTTCTTATAGAATCTTAAAGTCACCAGATCTACTCAATGTTTCCACCTTGACTTCTATTTATCCCATGGAATGCAAATCCTTTGAGAAACTCTTTGAATTCTGGGGGATAGATACGCCAAAGCGTAATCACATGCACAGTGTATCTATTTGCTTTCAAACCTTTGAATATCATTACAATCATATGTGAACTGATACGGCTCAAAACCTTATACCTCGCAAGGTTGCTTTGTAAATGTTGGCAAAATTGTCCTCCCTATAAGCACATCCCCCTCTCCAACTTTTATTTATTTATTCATAGCGTTAGTTTTATGTTATATTTCGCATATGCCTTTCTGATGTTGCCACACATTGATGAAAATAACATTATTATTTGTGGCACAATACAAAGTTCTTTCGCAAATTACTGCAAGAAACTATGTTCCTACAGAAACTCTTACATATTCATATAATAGCGAATTGCATATGTCACAGTGTTCTACTTACACAAACTTATCTATGTTAACTGTATAATCCATGTTATTGTGTATGTTATAACAACAATTCTTAAGGTTGCAAGCTATTATGCTGATAAGTATTATTTCTCATTCTTGGTGTGCTAATAGTAGAAATCTACTTTTATTTACTGAAAATATTACTGTGTATTATCTATGCAACTTGCCTATGTAACTGCGAATTATATGCGTCACCGTTTTATCTATGTAATTACATACTTCCACATTTACGTCTGAAATACTCTGTATTATATTGCTCGTATATAAACTGTACGGTTGTTTGTTTTGTGTGACTGACGGTGTTAATCATTTTCATAATACCTATGTAACTATGCATCACCTCCCCCCTTTTTTTGGTAACTCATGCAACTGCGCAACATTGTAATAGCGTATAAAGATTTCTATAACAGCATTTCTTATATGTAACAGTACAAATTATGTAACTGTGAGAATTCGTAATCTAAGTATCAAATATATGGTATATCATTGATTTGTAATTGAATTCATAATGTTGTAACATATATAATGCCGAAAGTTAAAGTTGTAATTGTATTTGGCTTGACCTCTGTACAAGTAATATCTAATCACAAGATTTTGTAACCTTAATTTTGCACTAGATCAAGCTCATTATTACTTTGTTTCTCCTTTACAACTGTTTATTTTCCTATTGTATTAAGCTTAAAATATCTGAATTTTTTTTTAGTTGCTTCAAGCAAAGATGACAATGTAGTTATTCTTCGATTGTGACTCTAATTGTGTAACTTGATTATGTTAAATTAATGCCTGTCTGATCTGGCTTGGCCAACTGAGGCTGTAGCGGAGCTGGTAGTAGACTTCTACTCATCAAGCACTATTCCGCTTGATAATCTTTTAGATAATTTTAGGTCGGAAGCCTGCTCAATGGTGCTAAATGCTATATACAGTGTGATCAAAAAATCAGTATAAATTTGAAAACTTAATAAATCACGGAATAATGTAGATAGAGAGGTAAAAATTGACACACATACTGAGAATAACATGGGGTTTTATTTGAAAAGCAATTATCTGATCAGAAAAGCAATAATTAGCATAACAAATTAAGATAAAGCAAAGATGATGTTCCTTACAGGAAATGCTCAATATGTTCACCATCATTCCTCAACAATAGCTGTAGTCGAGGAATAATGTTATGAACAGCACTGTAAAGCATGTCCTGAGTTATGGTGAGGCATTGGCATCGGATGTTGTCTTTCAGCATCCCTAGAGATGTCGGTCGATCACGATACACTTGCGACTTCAGGTAACGCCAAAGCCAATAATCGCACGGACTGAGGTCTGGGGACCTAGGAGGCCAAGCATGACGAAAGTGGCTGCTGAGCACACTATCATCACCAAACGACGCGCGCAAGAGATCTTTCACGCGTCTAGCAATATGGGGTGGAGCGCCATCCTACATAAAAATCGTACGTTCCAGCAGGTGTTTATCAGCCAGGCTGGGGACGATGCGATTCTTTAACATATCGGCGTACCTCTCAAACGTCACCATAGCAGTTACAAAACCAGAATCACGCATTTCCTCGAAGAAAAAAAGGCCCGATAACAGTATTATTATTATTATTTTTTTTTTTTTTTGTTGTTGTTCTAATAAAACCCCATGTCATTCTAAGCATGTGTGTCAATTTTTACCTCTCTATCTACATTATTCCGTGATTTATTAAGTTTTCAAATTTATACTGACTTTTTGATCACCCGGTATATTAACCAGTCAGTCATCTTATTATATTTGCTTTTACTGTCACTTCCATTTCCGTCACCTCTCACAAGAACGCAGTTAATGAATTTAAGAACAAGAGTTCTTGAAAACATCTAAGAGTCTAAATATGCTTAAAAAGGCTTTAGGCTTGCTAGCCGAAGCTAATGTCTTGAGGACATAAGCCAAACTCTAAAGGTGCGCTTTGTTTAGTAAATCTCATATTTTAGTATTTTACATTTTACTTTAAGCTTTGATCTCCGCAAGCTGCAAAGTTAAGCTTCTGCTCTTTCACAAATTGTGTACTGTTAGGCTGACGAACTAATGAAAACATCTACTATAAATCTTCCTTTGTCATCGAGTTACTTTAAGACGAATTCTATCAGATACGTCGTTTGACTGTCTTCATGGAGCCAGAGATGAAGTACGAAACATTTATTACAGAGGAATAAGCTTATTAACCCCTTGGGTACATTTGATGTCTGAAGACACGTCATTCACTTTTTTTTCCCTTGACGTGTCTAAGACGTCAAACCAAAAATTAAACTCTTGGGTACATTTGACGTCTGAGAGACGACATTCAGTTGTTTTCACTAGGAGCGGATGACATGTCTAAATCGTTATTCGAGGTTAGGCACAATTCTGTTCATTTCATTGTAGCTTGTATCAGTCATAATACTAGAAGAGACAATTACAGTATTTCGGTGAACATTATTTGCGATACACAGCCCCATTATGTCAAAAACAAGGAATATATTTTATGATAGTGATAGCGAAAGTGACTTCGAGAAATCTAAAGAAGAACTGTTTAGTGATCCTGAAATTGACAATTACAATGAAATACAAAGCGAAGGTGACGAAGACGATATTGAACTAGAAAATGATGACAATTGTAATATAAAATCAAGGTTTCGAAGACGCACAAGACGTCTATCGAGCAGCGATAGTGAATCTTCACGTGAATCAGTATCAGAGGAATGGATTTAGGAAGAAGAAGAAAATGTAGCCGATATAAAAAGTTTTTCTGAAATATCTGGAATTAATCCTTTGAGCCTGCATAGACTAAGTAGTAATCCTACGTCTTTAGATGTTTTGAAAGAAGTCTTGAATGAAGATTTTTGGGACACTATAGTAATGAAAGCTTATATTGCATTATGCATCTTGATGTCGCACATGAAGAAGCCAAAAATGCATATGTATTGGTCAAAAAGATATGCAATAAGTACTCCAATTTTTGCCAGCACTATGGCACGCAGGCTTTTGATATTTCAAGCTTTCTACATTTTACGGATAATGAAGAGGAAAATAAAGATGACAGAATAAGAAAGATTAGAAATATAGTGGATTACCTAAATACTAAATTTTGTTACATTTATACTCCTAAAGTGAAGTAGCTATTGATGAACCGCAACCAAAAATTATATCCGTTCCACAAGCAAATATTTTCTCAAATAAATCCGTACCCAAGGGGTTAATAAACTAACAGTTAACTGTAATACAAATAAAATTAATAAAATGTATAATAATTGCTGTTATATACACAGTTTAAAACAAATTTCAAATAGAGAGAACCTATTCATATGATTTTCAAAGATGAAAAATATAATATTATAGAAAACGAAGAATAAAATCAAAAAATTATGAAAATAAATAAAATTTTGGTTTTAGGCATAACTGGAGTCGTAGAATCAAAATACAAGTATGAAAAAAAATGGCATGCCATTTCTAAAAAAATTCAATTTTGTGTCAATATACGTACATTAGAACAATGTCATATAAAAAATCTATATATCCTAAGTCGCGCTTTCGAAACATGAAGAATGAAAGCTGAATTTCGTCAATCGGCCGGGAAATATAGGAGTTTTTTTAGGGTGGGGGAGGGGAGGAATAAACTAAACTTTTTATTTTAGTTGTAATATTTTCTAATAACGTAAGATTTTTATATCAGCTACCATTACATTTTAATAGCCAATGACAATCACATAAAAACAGTTAAAAATGATAAATATCTACATTTTTTCACTGCAATTTTATTTGACATAGAAAAGGAATTAATTGTACATGATCCTTTATACATATAGACCTGGAACTAATGGTATAATGTTTCAGATGTAAAAATAAAATATGAAAAGTTTTTGAGTTAAATGCATGTACTAATTAAAAGTTTATCCAAGTGTTCATATCAGAATTTCATTGACGTAACACTTATTTAAGTATTTAAGCAAATTCTGCACAGCTCAATTTTTTTAGACGTTACTTACCGATAGCTTGAGGTAATAAAATATATTCAACAGTTTTGAAAAAGACTGAGTTGATATCCACTGTAGCGATAGCAGTAATAATTGGGTCGGGGGTTGTCATAGCAGGAGGTACAGAAGAACATTCTGGATTCGTTTTCTTAGCCCGTAATATATCCGGCGGCAATTTGCTTTGACTGTATGAAAGAAAGAATGTTTTAAATAATCTCAGAAACTTGCAAAATCAATTTATACACAACATTTATATAATGTACTTAAAAATTTTAAATTTACATAACATGATACCGATATCACGGCGACAACATAACAAAAATATTTCGTGCTAGTTTTTATTCAATGAAAAGATATCAAATCTGTAATAAAAATGCCATATTTATATATGTTTTTGTTTCATTCTCTTTAGGAGAATTTACAATATTGCTGCCTTAACTGCTAAGTTTTATTTAGTTCCGTTTTTCGTTTACCCCAGCAAACGCGGAAAGAAAAAATAAAGACGCTCTTCACTGTCATCTATAAAGTTTGCATTTTTAGTCATTTTATTTTTCGATATACAGTCTAGATTCATCGAGATTTTGGCGATATTAGACCATCGGTTTACATTTAATAAGATGACATTTAAAGATTATAAAATTTAAAGTATAAAATAGTGGTTTATGAAATAATGGAGCATTTATGACTTTAAAGGAATCAAAATTTACATTAATAATGATAATAAATAAAATAAAAATGATTGATTAAAAATAAAGAAAAAATTAGATTTTTACATGTACCTAAATGCTGTTTATTTAAAAGAATTGACATACCTTGTGAACTTAAAAATTTTCCTTATCGAATAGCATAAAAAGTTCTACATGTTTGTCTCCCATTATATCTTCAGATACATCATCGAATTTCATTTCATCTTCGTTACACTGATCCATAAATAAATAATAATTATTCGTTCCCTTTTTTTTTTTACCAAAACCAAACACCTTGCTGCAGCATGACTTCCATTTACTTTCGCAAACTAAATAAGTTGTATTTGAAACCAGCCCTGTACTGTTTCGATTGGCAGGAGCCACATTTAATATTAAAAGGAACACTAGATTAATTGTATTTCAACTAAAGCAAATGCGATTTACTAAAGACTTCGATGTTCACTTCAAAATCACATCTTCAAATGACTACAGAAAGAGGAAACATCTGACTCCTAATTTCGTAAAATCATTCGGATCGGAAAGGCATTCTTATCCTGTCTCCCTTTTCTCGAAACCCTTGTGTAATATTCTTGTGCACACTTGCATTTAATACAACCCAACCTCTTTGCAGAATTTATTACTTCTTCAAAGATTCCCCCATCACACACAGACACGCTTTTCTCCCCTTATCGCTACCACTGTTCGAACACCTGGGAAAAATTTTCGAACGAATGATTTCAAAAGATATGAGCATCACACATTTACAGCGTGTACAGCTTAATATGATCACGTCCTTTTCGAACTTATTTCATTTATAAGGCGGCTGAGTTTTATATGCTATGATGGGCTGCACGCAGGATTTCATTTCTGTTACGGATTTACAAGTCAGGACTGCTACGGACCTCCACCAGAATGTCCTATGGCCTCGTCCTGCTCGGGCCTAGTTCACCATCTTTCGGGTCCCAACGTGCACGCTCATACTCCGCCTAAACGAGATAAATTGGACAGGACGGGTAATTGGTGCTCTTTGGATGTTGAAAAGCCCCAGGATCCCAATTGAGACGGCGTTTTGCCGCCCTTTGCTTTCAATGTACCTCTGGGCCTGGTCAAGACCCATTGATTTCTGTTAGGTATACAATGTTGGATATTTTCGGGAGGGGGCGAAAGCTATAAAAATAAAACAGACTTATTTTTATTAAATAAAGAGACTTATTTAAGACTAACGGGCAAGCTTGCCAGATAAACGGGCTGCGGGCAAAGCAAAATTTGTAAGTTCTATGCATATCTGAAAAGAAAATGTAGAAAAATATTTCAATATGAATTGTTTCAGCTTTATTTTGGCTTGATTAACGATTTTCGGCCATACAAAATAAGGTTGTACCAATGTTTTCATACAGACACTCTGTGACTATAAAACTGCTACTCTGTGTACTGCTGTCCAACTATGAATCCTTGATCATCATGAGGAAAGAAAATACGCATGTCAGCGGTTCAAAGTTAGGATTTAAAGTACTGATATTAATGAGACCAACACCTCTTGCATGTTTCTGTTTGATGGAGCACTGCCATCTGCACGCTTGAAAACAACTGCAACTTAATTTTCTTTTGGAACGTTGTAACGTCCTGTGCTTACCTGTAACAACACTTTTGCCCTTAATGTACATACGGGTAGCAGCAGCAGTTTCAGCACCTTGCTTTCATAGAGTTCCTTCTTCAAATTTTACAGCATCTTGTAGGCTTTTGCATATGGAATTACATTCCTTAAAACTGCATCCAATTGTGTAAACAGTTCAGCACTCAGAGCAACTTTTCCAAGTATATTCATTCTTTGCCTGAGGACTTGATCCGAATCTAAAATATCCAGCTGGGCATATTATTCTTGATCAGGTGGAGGTGGATGAAGGTTGTTTGCTCGATGATATATGGCATCATTAATTCAAAAACAAAAAGGACCTGAAGGTGTAGGTATTTTTATATTGGCACCCAAAGAAGCAAAACTAAAAAGACAGTTATAAGCACGTCATATTAGCAAAAACATCATGGGAAAATTGGTCGTTCCCATTCATTAAATTACGCTATTCTTCTGGATATATTCTTTCAGCTTCTAAAACTTTCCCATTATGACAGCAGTGCACGTATCTTCCGTGTTCCCTTCTCTTGGAAAGAAGAGTCCACTGCAGAGATCGCAGCAAGCTACCATTGAACTGACACTGTGTTGAATAACTTCGAGGCTACATCTTCCTGCATTGTAAAGAGTGCTACGTGAATGTCGTGTTGTATTCATGCGAAGCCTGTCTTCTCGTATAGTCATTGCTTTTTCAGATCAGACTTCTCTGTTATCCGAAGCGTCTTGCATTCGTCGTTAGGTGATCATCGTGTTATACGGAATGTCGAGTAATCAAGAGTCGAATATGCGAGACATTACTGAATTTAAAAATAAGCAAATCTCAAGCTATTGTTACCATAATAATAAATTCGAAACTACCTTCCCTTTCCCTTCGCCCCTCTTCTCCCGAAAATTAAAATCTTCATATTAGCATCAATCAAAAGTCCTTTTACTGTGGAAATACTCAGTATTTTGAAGCAGGTAATAGAATCCGTTGTTATTATAGAATTTCTATTTTCCTCTTAAGTTTTTACTGGTCAAAAAAAAAAAAAAAAAAAAAAAAAACTGAATAGAGAAAAGTGAATAGAGAATCACCAAGTGAATAGAGAAAAAAACGAAATTCTGTTGAAATAAACAATAGCTCATACGCCAAGGTAAACAGCTATAGATAGCTTAGGGAGAAAGCAAAGATAAGGCAAATTCTCCTTGATAGAGAAATGTCGCAGATCACTAATATCACTTAAAAAGTAAGTTACAAAGTAAGTACAAAGCAAGCTACAAAGCAATGCTCACCGAGCAAAAGCTCAGTACAACCACACAACTCTGAGCTGAACAATTGGACTAACTAACTCCTTCACTTTTTCAGAAATTTCGAAAATGTTACCATGTAAGCTACAAACCTTCAAATGTCACCAAAATTTCAATAATGCCAAAAGCCCGATAGGAGGATTTTTACCCACATTACAGATTGTACTGAGCAATCTTCACAAATGAATTGTCAATCATTTCACAGCTAAAAAATCTATCGGGAATGTACACGAAATCAACACTTAAAGCACAATAAGTGATAATAATTTGATTAACAACAAATACACAATAAAACGCACTAAATAAATAATATATACGTTATAAGTAGTAAAATAACTATATTTTAAAATTCACATTGATAGTAAAGATATTTATATAATTAGTTTAACATTTAGCTCTTATTCTAATTCAACAATCATCTAAACGAGATTTCATTGAACCTTTCAGAATAGGAGCCATTGTTTACCAGTTATAAACTGCATACTACGAATATTTAGGGATATATCCAAGTTGCTGCAGGTGAGACGAAAAGTGCCAAGCATTTCGATTTTCTTTGTGTGTATTTGAATAAAATAGTCTAATAGCAGCTGCGCTTTGAAGTACAACCGACTGAAATTTGCTAGAGTCAAAAGGTATAAAAAGATATCAAAATTTCAAAAAACTCCGAGGTAGAACTGACAGGCGAGATTCCAGCCATGTCTCAAAACAATGCATTGTTTTAAGAGTTCATAAGGAATTAGGACATGGAAACAGGATGTCAGTAGCGCCTTAATATTGCGAGAGATTTCGTTCAGTGAACTCTTCAGAAGTGTGCAGTGCCGCCTTTACCAGTTAAAGATTTTTATATTCATAAAATGATGAATAAGAAGTGGAACTAAATGGTTGAATGAATGGTAACTTCGATCAAAACCCTTAATTTCCGCAAAGTTTGATAGCTCGGTTTGCATATTTTTATCCTTATTATTGTAAAATTCAAATTATCATTGTTTCGAGCTAAATGAAAACTACAAATTAGGTATTAGTTCTATATTTAAGTCTATGAATCAGACAGAAATATCTTTTTCACGATTAATTCAATTAGTTAAATGACATTTAAATAGTGAATTTACTATGCAAAAAGAATTTAATCTCAAATTAACTTGAACCCCCCTTCCAGAAATTTAATTTTTTATTGGGTCTGAAAATGGTGATGCTTTAACAAAAATAGTCATGCTCTAACAAACTAAATTTACATAAACTATAATTTTTTAATACTGCAAATTTCTTCTGAAGTCAAAATTTTTGTTAAAGATCAGTATAATAAAGGGCAAGGGGAAAAAGTATGAGGAAAATGTATTTTAAAATTACAATTAATCTAGTTTTTTTACATGAATTTTTCTAGCTTCTCTCTCTCTCTATCTGTTTGTTCGAATCAAAGCTTGATATCAATTTTTGACACATTCTAATAGAACCTTTCCTTTCCCTTCTCATGTTGAAGGAAGCGTATTGTTTTGATTGCATATAAAAACATGTCCTGGCAAAATTGACGAATGATATGAACGAAACGAATCTAGCAGAAACCCTTGGCAAGTATTGCTACCACTCA